GGTGCATTTAGATTCCAGCCTCACTGCCCTCAAGCTTTCTAATCACAGACTCGTTCCATGAGCTCACTGAGTCATTGTCCCTCCTCCGTACATCAGGCATATTAATCAACATGGCTGAGAAAGTTAAATGAAAATGTTTTCATATATGCAGATGTGTGGTCCCTGATAGAATGTAGATATCCAGTAAATAGTTGCTGTTGTTTCAACTGTACCATTTATGTGATCTTCCATTTTCCATTGGTTTGGTGAGCTCTGAGGAGTGCAGATCGAAGGCCACAGTGAAGGCAGACCTCAGCAGACCGTTCCTCATGTGACATGTGACATTGTGTTCCACAGCCTCTCTACTCTGAGATGGCTCCCAAGGCTGGTGTGCAGAAATGCCAGCAGAGCAGCAGGGTGAAGAGAAGTGGCCCTCTCTCTGCTCTGCATCTGATGCCTCAAGAGACTTGCTCGGGTCTATGGGCAGCTCTTTATCACAGTGGGGACATAAGAGACAGAGACAAAGCTGGATTCCAAGAATCTGAATGGAATGCGTGGCACTAGCAACCCTGCAGAATTACCTATTAACTTCAACACTAAGTACACTGGATATGGACGTCACTAAAAGGGAATAAATGTGAGACCCCATGAAGTCATTTTCATTGACTCTTTTTTGGAGTATAACTACCCTTTAAGCAATCAAACATGACAGACCACACCGTATCACTGATTATAGACCCTCAGGTGTGTGCCAGCACCTGAGAGGGGAAATAAGGAAATAAGGGTAGAAGATGGTTTGCCAAAAACTGGAAAATCATAGCAGCAGGATATGAAGGAAAGGGGTCTGATTAAAGGACAGGAAGATTATGCCTCTGTTTAATTATAAATTTCACACTTTTAGTAAACTAGTATATGTCCCAAATATGTACACTTAACTAATTACATAGAGGATATCTGCGCATTGCCAGGTAACTGTTCACTGAAATGTGGGAGAATATTGATCAGTGATTTTCTTTATTACCTTAATGTAGTTGCCAGGAGATGAATGAGAAGAAAGTTCAGTGTGGCGCACTGTTAACAATCTCTAGCCATACGATGTGTTAGGAAGAACAGTGAACAGCTTCTGGGCCCAGTAGTGCTGGTTGTGTAGCTGCTGAGGCAAATGGATCGACTCATAGCACCTCTCCACTGTACCAGTCAAAACGGGTTTGATGACTGTTACCATCTCCTTCCTCTGCTGGGCAATAATGTGTTGGCGAGACTTATAGTACTGTAGAGCCTTTACTGTAGACTGATGTTTAAGAGGAAGCTCTCCTGGCCAGTGAGAATGACTGCTAGTTCCTAGAAACCCTGTTCTACTTGTTATGGTAAGCATCACTACCCCAAGACAATTAGTTGTTCCTGGTTTTAGTCTTAGATTGGTTTGAGTTTTTTGTTTGTTTGTTTTGTTTTGTTTAAGCTTTTTATTTAGGACTAAGGGGAAAAAATGATTCTGTTTGAGGTCAGAGGGGAAGTATAACAAATACTATTTCTTCCATCCCTGGAAGGAAACAAGGCAAGAAAATGAGAAGAGACTTGGGGCAGCCATCTGTACATTTCTATGAGTAAATCATTAAATAAGGAGAAAAATAAGTGCAAATTTAAGAACGTCCAGAGCATGAAGAGTGAGAAAAGTTAGCTGGGAAAAGAAGTGTTACTGCAACCGGCTATAATGAATTTAACCCTAGAATTAAGAGCCAGTTCCCACCGGAAACTAGCCAAAGCCATGGCCTTTTCAAAGGGGGAGGAGCCTCATCCTACTCTTCAGTCTGAGTTTGTCACCCCAGTGGTATTTTCAGTATTATCATAATTACTACTGCTGGTAATATTAGAAAAATCTGCTTCTTTGTTTTTATGATCTACCCTCATTTTAAGATGCTATTAAACTATAAAAATGGTATTTATTTGCTCCGTTTGTTGAAGTTAATAACTGAAACAAGTTTGTTAATTTTGAAACATAGTATACCCGCAAGCTCTCCCTGTCTCTGGTCTAGTCTTTTGGTCTGGTCATTGCTCTTGGTGGTCTGTGGGCTTACTGGTATTCACCAGGCACTGATAGATCCTTGCTTAGTTATGGACCTTGAGAAGTCGGCTCCCCTAATCTCCTCATCTGAGCATGAGGACAGTGGAATAGGTGAACCTCAAGTCCTCTCAGTTCATCAGTTTCTATACCCTTCTAAGCAAGATTCCTTATTCCTTTGGAATTCTACTCAACTAATGTGAGCTGAGCACATATCCAAATGCAAGGAATTGTACTCTGGAGGAAGGAAAAGAGATATGGTTCTTATTCTACATACCATAAACGGACATTGCCAACAGCCCTATACCCAAAGACAGTCACAAGAAAAAAGCTCAAGAAATACATTGGACCACAATTATACCTGATAGTAGAGACTTCAGGATGAATACCCAAGGATACAGGGAGAGCTGTCCATGTTTAAGCTGGCTAGAGAATGGAAAGCTATGTGGAAATATGATTGGCCAAAAGGAGTGTGACCTAATGTTAGTAGACTGAGCACAGAGACCCAGCAAGGCCTGTCTGTTCAGATTCTTGCTGGCCTCTCTGTGCAGCATTCCTTCTACCTGGGTATGGAGAGGACCCTTCCTTAACCCGGGGTCTTACGGTCTACTTCAAATAAGGTATGTCAGAACAGCTGTGACCTGTTCCTACAGAAAGGCATGAGAAGATTAGAGCGATGTTTTTAAGCTTCGTGATCTGCTGTTAGGAAAGATGTTCTAATCCCCATATCCTGCTTTGCAGAAAATACTGTCTTACTTCTGTGACTTGTGTTGCATTGAGAGGAGGCAGGGCAAAGGAGGACCAGAGGGATCAGAGGGAAAATTTGCTTCTCAGGCTATCTCTGAATTGGGAGAGATATGATACAAATGGTGATAGGTGTCAGTAGAATGTTCCAGTGGATTCAAGGGTATTTCTCTTGAGAAATTACTCCTAAATGGGGTGGTATTAATGGCACATAAAGAAGCTATAGGTAGACATTTGAATGAGAGAAAAGTAGCATAAACATATCGGAAAGAGTGGGGCTTTGTTGATGTATAGAATGAACTATAGGGACAAGAATTGAAAATTGGATGGGGCCTTATAACATACTCAATGTCAAGTTGAGAAGTTTGACTTTAATGCAGTCAACAAAGGAGTTTGGTGCACAGGAGGAATGTGTTTAGGGTGGTGCTTTAGAACACTGATGTAATGATGGAAGAAAGGTCGAGTATCAGTATAAAATAAAAAGAAACTAGAAGAATAGAGGCAGTCAGGAGATGTCCTCCGATGATCTGGCAGCAGGCAGTAAAGAGGTACTGGTGTTGGGTACCAAAAACAAGTAGATTCAAGAAAGTTGACCAGAGGAAGAACTGTAGGCTTAGCAGCTGATTGGATATGAAAGGCAAAATACATCAGGATATCTGCTCAACTATAGACAAGCCATGGAGTAAAGGTAGCATCAACTCTGGGGTAGCAACCGATTTGAAGGAAAAGACACAGACAAGTGAGGTCTATCTGAAAGTTTCTAATTTAAAAGAGGCTGAAAATACTTAACAGAGATGTTAAGTTTCAAAGAGTTAGAGACCCTGAACTGCTCACCTTTTCCAAGGGTCTCCTGCTACACACACTGGGTGACCAAATGATGAGTGCACAGGTCATTAGCTGACTTTAGAAGATGGGTTATGTAGCAATGCAGAAAGCAAGAACTGGAGATAGCAATGTAAATACTCTCTGGGAAAGTGCTTGTTGGGGTCCAGGCAAGATTTCTACACAAAGCCTTCAGGGTGGGGGATGTTAAGGAATTTACCCATCGAGGGAAGAAGAGAAGGAAAGCAAAGCGCAGGACACAGAGCAGCAGACTGGAGACACAGAGACAGACAATCAGGACAGTGTCTTGCCCCATCACAAAGGTGTGTGAGTTTCATGGACAAAGTGAACCACGAGCAAGACTGAAAAGGCAGGAATGTCAGGGTGAGGGGGCAGTGAGCTGGAGGCCCCTGGAGACAGATCGTAATCTATACTTTCTAAGGCTGTACTCCCTGGGGTTAAAGATAAGGAAGGGAGACTTCAGTTCTCTGCAAGGGAACAGAGAGAAGACACGAATCCAAACCAGGTTAAGTGGTGGTCTTCAGGAGAAGCAATGCCTGAGCAGTAGCAAGGGGGAGACTGAAGGGAGCCAAAAATACCAGTGCTGGGATAGACATGGACACTGGGCAGTACTACTCAGCCTTTCAAGAGAGGCGGTCTTGTCATCGCCACGTGAGTGCGATCTTCCAGAAAGATAACCATAGCATGCTCTCTCTTAGATGTAGGACCCCCAAAAAGTCAAACTCATAGAAGCAGAGAATAAAATGGTGACTAACATAAGCTATAGGGATGTTCAAAGAATTCTTGATTTTATTTAGTCATTTTTCTAGTCTAAACAAACATTTTATTCTAGACAAGACATAAGTTCAGATATTTTCCCCTTCTCTTCTCCATTCTCTTCCTCCAGGCAGCTGCTGTGATTTATAGTTTGCTATCCGCCCTAGGATTAAAAAATAAAAATAAAAAAACAAACTATCCTCACAAAACATAATATGTAACTTGATTTGTCTATCCCACAATGAACGCAAACCTCAAAGTATTGTGATAACATTATGTTCCACAAATAGGTATAATTTGTGCCAGCTAACAATCAACTAATACATGTAAAACATCAGAAGAATTGACGGGGCCAGGCTGGAAAGATGCTGTCCTCAGTCTTTCTGGCCTCACCTCCACTCAGCTTCCCAAAGTTGCTTCACCTGCACTCACGGTGCTCTGGTGTCTCAGACCATCCCAGCCATCAGCAGAAACACTGTGGACCAAAGATGCAGAACGAGCCCAGTCATGTTCCTCAGTTCCTCTCTTTCAAAAAAACGTTACATAAATAGCAAAGAATGCCATAATTACAACCTCCTCATTTAATGACCTTGTTTGTTTTGTTGTTTGTTTATGCTAGATGCAGCCGCTCTCTGTCCCCTGCCCCAATGAACATCTGCACTAGGCCCAAGCCTTGGAGTGACTTACCTGAAGAGTGACACTGTTTATCTGAAAACTACTGTAAGTACACTATGCCTCTGGTGAATTAGTCTACTTTGTGTAATAGATGGTGGTAGTGATGATGATGATGGTGCTGCTGCTGCTGCTAAACCACACAGTTGTAAAAGCAGGTAACATTTCAGATAGCTTCATCGTTTAGATGAACCTTCATCTCTTAGGTGACCATCCCAGTACCTGCAGCTGTTTTCATCTACCAGCATTCATTGCATGCATGCCTGCCCGGGCAGCGTTCTCTCCCATCTCCTGGTGGCTGGGTCATGCTGGATCTCTGTACACCTTGCAGGGACTGTAGATACTCTGCTTGGTTGTGTGTACCTCTTCCCAAGATGGCAGTAGCTACTCTTCCTGTGTTTGTGGCTCATCGTGTGTCAGTCTACCGAATCTGGTAGTCGCTTGTCATTCCACGGCACTCCGGTCAAATCTCTGAGCCACCTTATCTTGCCTATGCCTACATGGTCTCTGGGGCACAGCCCATGTTGTTGTTTCTTTGCAACTGTAGGAGACAAGGCTTCCTTTGGGACTCTGGGCTCCTTCCAGTGCATTTCCATCCCATCAAGCCAGGTCTGCTCTGCCCTCTGGGTGCAAGGCTCTGTGTAGCCGATTGGGTTCCTTGTACACAGAGCGTTTCTGTAGAAATATATCCCCACAAGGAAATAAGACAGGATAGGAGAGTCAATATCCACAGGAGACTAATGAAAATTTACTAATCATATTAAAACTAATAGATGAATATATGCTTTTTTCCACTAAGAAAAGCCAGACTTTTGAATTGTTTAGAAGCTATGCATGTAAAATAATTATGCATTTTAAAATGAAATCTCATTTTAATTGTACTTACAAGTTTTTCTGTAGGTAGGTAATGGGATGGAGATTTACAGAAGTCTCTGATTCTGGAAAATGCTAACCCTGGGAGGCTAATCCTCCTCTTTGGTGCCTGTTAGGATTTTTCACATTCATATTACCCATGTCTTTAGTTATTCTAGCATACCTCAAACCGGAAGAAATGAAGCTAGAATTTTGTTTTGAGTATTTTTACCTGTAATGCATTTGGTCTCTTGGATGATAATTGATGATAGCTGGTATGTAAGTGATGGACAGGCCTTTCTAGCCAAGATGGGGAATGAAGGGCATTGAGGGACTAGTCTGTAATGACATGAGAGAAGACCGTAAATTGTCACTTCTGCCTATAATCACACAGGGAACTTAATTGCATAATTTATCCTTATGTTCAAGTGCAGGGAGTCCCTTAGAAATCCTCACATCTGAGTAGTTTCTCACGTCTGAATTTTGCTTCAACATAAAGTGATGCTTGTGCCAGTAGCACAGTCAGGCTAGGACATAGACTGGTATCAAGGCTTGTGTATGCTTTACAGCTCCTCCATTCTTGTGCTGCAGAGAACACAGACCCAAAGCTACGAATTGGAATCTGGGCTTGGAAATTACAAGGAAATGCACAGTCACCCATTTTTGCCTCGGAACGATGTTTCATCTTCTCCTGGGCCCTGGGGAATGGGCAGGTTGGGTTATAACCCTAGTATTGTCTGCCCTTCAGAGACCCCATTACACAAGCAAAAGAAATAGTCACCAAGGCGGGGGAAATACAAAAACGGAACTTTACAAGTGTGTCCCTTCCTGAGAGTATCCTGAGAGCTGCCAGTGCTCTATACCTGTTCCCCAAGTAGAAGGTGATGGTTGGAGCGAGTGCTGGGTTGTATCACGTTACCTGTACACATGCTCAAACCTGCCTGCTTTCTCGTGCTGTTGTGATAATTTAGCCAGATGATGTAGAGAGAGGGTCTGGCGCGGCAGAGATGAGTATATCTCCTTACTCCACTACAACTTACTGAGCATTCCGTGGGTGCCAGACACTATTCTGGGGACTGGGATATTGTAGCAAGGAACACAAACAATTCCTCGCTTGTGAGCTTACGTTCAGCTTCCCTGCTCTATAAATGGCAAACAGACAAACTAGGTACGTGGAAGCTAACAGAAGACTGATTTGATTTTATTTTCCTTTTTCCTTCCAGAAAGTATAATTGAGAGGAAAAGTGTGAAAGAGATGCAAAGGGGAAACAATAGGTATGCCAATGAATCTTGCCAACCCACCTGCCACTCCCTGTCCTAATGCATGACCCAGAGACTTCCCAGGGCTCCAGTGCCCAGGCTCACTCGTTCTCTGGCCTCCTTAGAATCAGGCCTGAAGAAGACTTCTGCAAGAGATGTGAGGATGGGAGCAGCAAGAAGTGAAAATGTCACAGCCCACCCTAGTGCCACCCTGACTCAGTTCAGAAAACGTGCCTCTCTCTCTCGCCTTCAGGTTTCACCACGGTAAAGAAGAGATCAACAAGTCTCCATTGTTGCCGATCTCTGGTGTTTAACATCACTTGCTCTCATGTACCTTAGCATACAGCTCCCTCATCCTTCAGTTAAAACCTTAAAGGTAGCTGGGCAGTAGAGGCACACACCTTTTAACCCCAGAACTTGGGAGGCAGAGGCAGGCCGATCTCTGTGAGTTCGAGGCCCGTTACAAAGCTAGTTCCAGGACAGCCAATGCTACACAACGAAACCCTGTCTCAAAAACAAAAACAAAAACAAAAAAACAAAAAAGAGGGGTGGGTGGGAGGGGGACCCTTACATGTGTCATTTATTACCTGCCAGGATCCTGACTATGGTGAGGAGAGGCAGTGAAAAATATTGTAAACCAGCCCTGCCAAGAAGAAAAAAAAAAAAGATTGAGATAATAAAATGCTTTAATCATGAAAACATTTTAAATTAATGTGAGAATACTGGGCCAGTTGTGAAAAGATAAATTGTAAGAAGGCGTGATAAGCAAGAGTCCTGTAGGTTGGTTTCATGAATAGACCACAGTGTTTGGGCCCAAGGGCTATTGTGGGCCAAGTGCAGCTTGCTTGACCCTCGGCTCCAAGGAGCTCTCAGGGCAGCCTCAGCAATGAGAGGCGTGTGAACAGAAGAGAGTGGGGGGGTGAGATCAGGGTGGGAAGAAGAGGTTGCTGAGCCTCACATTCCTTCGCTGTTCACTACAATAACAATCCTTCTGCCCTTGCCCCTGACCTAGATATTCAAAAGACTACTAAAATGAAGATGCTGTCTTGTACAGCTAACATGAACGCCACAGAACTAATATTTTTCAAAAAGCACCATCATAGAGTACTTGTTTTCTGGGCCAGCACTGTGTCTAACACAGCCTGGCTTATCTGCTATATTCTTACCCATAGCCCACAGCTAGAAAGTATCACTGTTCCCATTTTACAGATGGGGAAGATGATAGCTCAGAGTTGCAAACTAACCTGCCTTGGGCACATGGCTGCTATCTGGTAGTGCTCAGTTTTCCTAAATTCCCCTCGTCGGGTGGGAGTGGTGGTGTCTTTTTACCTGCTGCAACCCCTCCCTGGACACTCTACAATTGTAAAGCAGAGGAGGAAAATAGTTGCCACTCCAAAAAGGCTGAGGAAGGCATCACTGATTTAAATTATCCTGATCCAATGACTGAGTAATTATTTATCAAAGGGAGGTTCTGACTAATCCTCTCCAGTCCAACCAGGCTGGTAAGTGGAAAGCCTGTTAATGTGCAGGAGAGGGTGGGAGCCCACTGAAGGGAGAAAATGGGGAGAGCGAGATAGAAGAAGCGCTTGCCTCTCGGCAGACCCTGGAGCCTGATAAGAGCTCACACAGATAAAATATTTATTTTTCCATATGTTGCAGAAAGTATTGCCATCACTGTATGTGTGCAATATGTGCAAATGAGTGTGAACTGTATGCATCCAACGCTACAGATCTGCCTAATTTCCATGCACTTAACATGCCCCATACCCAACAGCGCATCCATAGGTTTTAATGCGTATTTCTCTGCACAAACAACATGGTCTAGTTAGAGAAGAGCCAGCATCCTTCACAGACTAGCGCACTGCTCTGTTTCAGCCCGAAACTTTCTGTGGGGGCCAGCACAGGGAGAGTTAAAAAAACAGAAGGTTCTGCTGGCTGGCTCGGATGCCCTTCACCTTAAACCGCCTTCCTAGTTCTTGAAGCAGCCTTTTTCTCATAACAAAAATGTTCACAGTGGGGAGATGAAAATGTTTTTGTTCTCTTTGGACAATTGGGACATGTTCAGTCAGAATGTCAGCACTGACCGTTGAAAGGCGGGTGCCTGCAGCCACACTTTTTTTCTTTTTCTCTTTTCTTTTTCTTTTTTTTGAATGCCGAGCCCACCAGTGTGGCGGGAGGAAGTGCACAATGATTGGCCTGTTTTTCTGTGGAAGTGTTCAGGGTACGCCCAGTTTTGCTTTGCATATATTTACGAAACATCTGTCCTTCTCTTGTTCTGAAGTCTTCCTCCCTCACATCCCCCTTTCCCCTTTCCCCCGGGTTTTTCTTTGTTGTTGTTGGCCTGGCCTGTCTGACTTTTTCGTTAAGTTTTCATTTTCCGGTCGAGGGGCCACCTCATCACAGGGTATAATTGTAACAGAGAGAGAGAGAGACAGAGACAGAGACAGAGACAGAGACAGAGACAGAGAGAATGAGAAGATACACAGCAGGCGGGGGAGAAAACAAACTTGAAAGAGACTGAGAGGCCAGAAAGAGCTTGGCAAACCAACCTTTGGCATGGTGACCAGGAGGAAGGTTCTGGTAGGAGTTTGTTCCCTGAAATGCTGCCTGGAGTCAGCCAGTGTGCTGCTGCCCTCTACAGGCTCCAGGGGATAGTGCAGGCTATACAGGCTTGTACAGACATGTCCTCAGATGTGCCTGTTTATACAATCCTTTTTATGCAACCAAAGAAGGCATTTTCAGTTAATTACAAGAGAGCTTGCTCTTTCCTCCTTAATAAACCACAAACTGCAAAAAAAAAATGGGTCATAGAACAGCACCTGTGCGTGTCAGACAGACTGGTGTAATGTGTTGCTGTTCCTTGGCTTCAGAAAAAGGAGTCCCAAAGAATTGTGAAAGAGGTTGAGGCTGGAGAGGAAATGCTCCAACAGACAGTGTGTAGTGCTCTTGTCTGTAAGTTGGGAAACAGCCAATGGTAAAAGGATAAATAAAGTGATATTAAGCAAATGAGGGAAGGAGCCAGGTAGGTTTTGAACATGTCCTTCTTGCAGAGGTGACTGCAATGCTCCTGTGACATGGATGGCCTCCCAAGGTGATCCTAGACATAAGATGAGGCACAAGATATCATGCTGGCATCACAATGCAATTCAGGACAAGAAGCAACGATGTAAACAGTGCAGTTTCGGCAGAGTTAAATCAGAGTCTTTGGGTGTTTGACAGTATCAGTGCTTGGAAGAGAACACCCTTAATTCTCTCAACCATGTCTGAAACTAAAGGCCTGTATGCACCAGAGGTCATTCTGTTTTCTGCTACATGATAATGACCAATGGTGTTTTGCCCCTATATTTAGATGAATTACAAGGAGCAGCCACTCTTATTAAATACTCTTCATGTAATCAATGAAAAAGCAGCCAATCCAGGTTGATTCTACTGCTGCATTAAAAACTAGGAAGCGTAATTGAGATTCAGACTGGGACTAGTCTCCAAGTGTACTTGAATTTCAGCTCTGTTTCATTTCATCAGCAAACAGCTTTTGAATGGCTGCTGTGAAAAAGTTGTCCTGGTTCACAGTATAGACTAGACAGTAAACTCTGGGAGGACAGGACCAGATTGCTCAACCCAAAACTTGTATAACACATCACAACCACATGGTATTTGTAAAATGAATGTGTGAATGAATGAGTGAATGAGGGGAGGAGCAGGAAGGCGAAAGGAAAGAAAAGAAGTGGAAAGAAAACCAGAAATATAACAATAACAAGAACAGTCCCCTTCCCACGGAGGTTATTCTCTCCTAGAAGTAAGAACCTGTAACAAACAATTACTAAAATAAGGTTTAGTGAGTAAAACAAGAATACTGAAATGACTGAGATTTTAGAATGATATGGAGAAGAGTCACCCTTTCTGAAAGAAGGGTCTCACAGCAGTGTAACATGCAGCTGGCATTTAATAAGTGTGAAGGGTACGTCTCTTTCCATCAGGCAGAGATGAGAAAAGGCTGTTCACTGCAAGAGCAGTAATGAGGACAGGTGACTAGCCCAGAGTGTACATTCCAGAGCTCTGGGAATGATAAACAAACTCCAAGGTGGCCATTATATGGGACCCATGAGATAAGGTAGGACAGATAAGGAGCTGACCTCGAATGTCAGGCTACCATGGTCCTGTGGGATCTAGTGAATGAAAAGCCCAGGACGAGGGTGAGGTGGGGGATGGCAAACCAGTTAGTGGACACTGGAAAGTGTTAAGGCAACTGCCTGGAGAGGGAGCAGATGGAGAGGACTGCAGGGTAAGCTGAGGCAGAGGAAGGTAAGCGCTGTATTGGGGACTTCCGCAGCAGACCACACTGCTAGAAATAGATGCCTCAGGGGAAGCACTGGTTCTGCGGGGAGGAGGGATTGACTTTGGAGATTTTGATCTTGGATGCTTTCTTAATCTGAAAAACTAGAGTGGCAGATCCTTGGGGGTCCCCAGGAAGGCATGGAATTCAAGGTTTAGCCTCAGAGTCACCTATCCGGCAATGATAAGGTTTGTTTTTATTCTGTTAGCTTTCTCCACACCAAAAAAATGTATCGGAAAGCTCCCCTCCCCCAATTCTAATCTTTACCATGCTATTTCTGCCTCGTGCCCTCTGAAGAAACAGATTTGATTTCACAACCTGTTGGACTAAAAACACAGCATACTAATCATAACACCATATTCTGCGAGGGCAGATTTGACTACCCAGTACAACACATTTCAATATGAAATATTCTGTATACAAGTCCAATGCCATGCTCATAGAAACAAGGAGAACATGGAAACACAGCGACTTACAACAAATTATGTCCCACACATAATCTATCCAAAAAGAAAAAAAACCATACTCTGTGGTTACATACTGATAGGAAGACACAAAGCCACAGAAACTGGGGACATGTTCAAGGAGGAGCTCATACCCCTTTCTTCTAGGGCCTGGGGTCGGTGTGCTGCAGATGCTGATTTGCTAGTTCCTATTGATTGCCTTGTCATTGGGAACAGAGCCCTGAGCTGACTGATAGCTAAACTGTGTCACTTTCTTTTCCTGACACTGAATAACACCACCACCATTCCGTGCCCCATCGGCAATCTCCTTCTCCCAAAGCAAACACCAGTCACATGCAACCTCGAGAGCCTGTGCTAAACCTGAGAACAAAGAGCACAAGAAGGCCTGGATGAGCAGAGCAGGGTGGAGAGCGTGACACCTTCCCTACTGGAACCTAAGCTCTTCCTAATCACACTCCACTCTCCACTGTACACACACCTCTACCGCCACCCCTCTCATCTGCACAGCCTGCAGATTGAGGTTGTGATTTGAAATTATGGATTGACTTCAAACTAACAGAAACAGGAAAGTGGGATACTCCATAATGTGTTTCAAGAACAGAGACTTAAAGGTAGAAGGAGCCTTGGAGGGCCTTCTAATCTAAGCCCTTTATTTTGCAGATGAGGAAACTGAAGCCCAGAGAGGTGAAGTAAGGTGCCCAAAGCCTCACAGCAAGTTGCAGGCACAGCTAGTACCGTAGCTCAAGTCTCCTGACTCCCAGTCCAGTGCTCTTCCCATTACTCCACGGTCCCGTCTCTAAGCTTCCTGACAAATGCTAGAACGGTAAACCTCCACTAGTATTCTTTCCAGACCATGTTAAAACTCTAAGGGGGGAAAGGATGCTTTCTTGGATAATGTCAGCCATGCGTAGCTCAAGCTGTCTAAAGTTCTGGGACAGGGTCTTTTTATACAGCCAGCAGAGGCCAAATGCGGTGCTGTTTGCTTGGCCATATGCTTTCGTGTATTCCCAGTTAGGCCATTACTGGAGGGAAAAAAACAAGAATCAGCTTGTTTTAAAACAAGGGACATACTGGACTCCCTCCCATCCCCCTTCAGAAAAAAAAATCAAGTTATCTTTAACAGATTCTAAAAATGCCTTTTCCCAAATATGCAGTCAGTTCCTTCAAAGGGCCCTTTGTTTATTCTCAGGAAGAAACCCAAGACAGCTGAAAACCAGAAGGCATCTGAGGAGAATGAGATTACTCAGCCGGGTGGATCCAGCGCCAAGCCGGGCCTTCCCTGCCTGAACTTTGAAGCTGTTTTGTCTCCAGACCCAGCCCTCATCCACTCAGCACATTCACTGACAAACTCTCACGCTCACACCGGGTCGTCTGATTGTGAGTACACCAGTGAGGTGACGGTGTCTTCCCAATGCTTGGCATGGTGCTTCTCCCCCCACCCCAGGGTTCTGGCTGTTTTGCATTCAGAGCAAGCTGTTTCCATTTGGTCTTCCAGAGTAGCCAAGAGTAGCACGCCACCATTTTGATCCAGCCAGCGTCTATATCTTTTCAAAGCCAGAGTTTCTTTTACAGCCAGGTGACCAGGCATTTGGCCTCAGAATGCTGATTAATTACACGGGCCACATTCTCTTTGATGAGTAACTCACAAAAAGAAGTGGTATTCCTGCCCTCTGATTGTTCTTGCTCTCAGTAACAGCAATTCTACCATTACTAAATGGAACAACCAAATATGGACCTCAGAAGGCCAGCGAGACACGAGGAAACAGCCATTTCCAAATTACATAACCCAAGTCAGATTTGCATTAGTTATTGGAGTCTTATGTAGCTTGGCTGAATTTCGGTCTTTCCAGTTTTTAATTTATTTTGAAGTGGTTAAAGGATAGCATACATTTACAGAAAAAAAGAGAATGGCTTCCAAGAATTCAAAAGCCACCCAGACTTCGCATAGCCAATAAGAATGCAGGTTAAAAATATTTTTTAATTAAAAAAACTGCCTACGGGCTAAATTTGGAAATGGGCACTTAATGAGAATCGTCACTATTGAAGTCACTTCTCTGCTGTTTATTTTTGCCATCTTCTCACTAATCTAGAAGTCACTTCTTAAATCCTATTTTAAGCAAGTTGATAAATCACGTTAGGAGGCTGTTTTTCGTTTCTCAAGTGTAACCCAGTACTTGAGAGAGGAACACATGTGTTGACAATACCAAACCAAAAAAGTATTCCTTTTAGCTTCAAGATGCCCAACAAGTCTTCTGAACCGATCTCTCCACAGGGTGTCTGGTAACAGGCAGAGAGCTGGCATAATGGACTGAGTTAAATATACCAAGAAAGCTTTATTCCCCAAAAGGGCTCCATTTATCCTGTTCCTCAAAGACAAATTTTAAAAAAAATCACCATTAGGAAACAAGATTCCCAATCTCTTGCTGTTATTTTTCTCACAGAACTAATGTGAAATTCTGCAAGGAGGACAAAGGGTGAACCTGGGCAATTCCCTCCCCCACTCGCTTCAACATCGTAGCCTCTAGACAGGAGATGTGAGATGGAGCAGGCCTTGGGCTGCAGCCACCCTCCAGCTGTCACTAGAAAATGGAAAGAAAATGAGATCCAAGTCACTAAGTGCCACGTGATCTGTACAGTCAAACTTGTGGCTTCTATTTAGGCAGAGGGGAAGGAAGTAGGAACTTTATCCCATGGACCATCATCATAGTCATATCCTTGGACTTTCTTGCCTGGAAGTCTCCAGCCTAATAGTAATTACAGGAAGAACTTGAAAATAGCATGGCACAGTGCCCCACAGACATGTGCACACTGCCCCTGCCCACCAGGAAGGTGGATTTCCCTCTGGTAAAATGTCTGGACTATCAGTGTGCATACCTTCATCACCTGGCTTCCTGCCATACCTATGGGGAAGATTGCATAGGATGGCCCTAGCCCAGAAATCTGGTACAACCAAATGAATGCTTTACTGAGTAGAAAAATCACTAACTTTATATACTGTACAGTAAGCATCGTCCGGCCAGGCCTTACTTGCCCTACTAGCCTGGCATATACAGAAGGAACGGCAGGATGGTGTTGTCACTACAGACCCTGTGGAAGCCAGCAGAGTGGAGCTCAGTGGGGTGTGTGAACACACTTGGAAATAGACCGAAATGGGAGGAGAAACTTAATCTCAGCTGTCTAGAAAGTCACTTTGATTTTGCCATTAAGATGTGTAGTCTTCTCCACACTGACCTGTTGTTGAAATGGATTGCACTTCTCTCCAAACATATTTGGATTGTAGTTTGTCCTGATTTGAGCCTACACTTAGAGGAAGATTGTTTTTTAGGAAAGATTCACAGAAATCTGTCCATTTGGAGGTTGCTTGAGAGAAGACAGGAAAGGAGTTTATTTTAAGCTGTTAAATTTTTTGGATGCTCTTCTTGCATTCAAGAGGGTTTTTTTTTTCAAATGTCATTCTTACCATAGATTAATTTAAAAGCCTAATTTCTTTAAGGTAAAATGTTCAGTTCCTATTTAGAATGAACAGATTTGGGGCATTTAAAAATAGTGCCCTTGACTTGTTAGTCTCTTTAACTTCAGGAACATTCTACCAGTATGTGGTGTTCCAAGCTTTCACAAGTACTTGAGTTTTCATAGCACCTTTTTATTTTGTTGTGTGCTTAACAAAATTATTCTTAGTCATGACTTAATGCCCACTTCCTGTCGGTCAGCATGATTCTTCCCAATTCACATATGAGAGAGCTAAGAAACCAACACCTAACTGAAGAAGGGTTTGCCTGCAGTTCACTCACGTGGGTGCTGACAAGTGTTTACAAATCTCTCCTTCTGAGCACCCAGAACTCTCTACTCAAAGTGCAAAGATGTATGTCTGGCTCTAAGCAGGCATCTTGGAAGTATGTGGCTACTCATAATGGTGATGGTTATGAAAACGCAGTAGATAAATCATCCCCACAGAAGAGAAGTCAGCTCTGCTGTAACTAGGAAAGGGTGACAAGTCATGGTGCTTCTGCCTATACCGGGGTAGAGGTGACCAGTCCAGTGCCTTAAATGATTAGTTGGCCATGTAATGTGCCGTGCTGAGTCACTTCCACCTTGGCCAGAGATCCTAGTGATGTTCAAAAGCAGAAGTAGTATGGTCGGATATGTTTTCCTTCAGTGAGACGCCGCTGTTATCCTGCCACAGAAATGCATGCTGTTTGGTGATGCCCTCCCCAACACAATTTCTGCTCAGCAATATCCTACCATTTCCACAGAGCTTGTCACCTTTACACCATTCCTGAAAGCATAATGGCAAACAAATGCAGATGATGACAATAGAAGGCATTAAGATGAATTTGGGAATAGAAAGGGTTCAAGAGCCCTAGGTGTTTGATAGAGCAGTTAGCCCACCAAACAGGCTGTGTACGCAGTGAGCCAAGCTCAGTACTTAAACTGGACGAAACGGAGTGAGTAGAGCAGACGAAGTTCCCCATATGAAAAGCCTGTCCTGACAGCTACCAAGCTGTGGCACATCACAGTCACACTCATGTGACAGACACAACCAGAACTTTTACTTGCATGTTTCTTCCATCCTGTCTTTCCCTGTCCCAGTAAGGCTCCAATGGAAGGGGACACATTCCTTCCTGACGTCCTCCTTGCTTCTGCCAGAGATCTACATTAGCTCCTTTTGACATCCATGGTCACTCACTTTCCAGTGTTTTTGTGCTGGACTCATCACTGTCTGGTTCTTGTGTCCTTGCCAAGATGCATTTATGCATTAACAGTTTTTATTTATTTTTAATTTAACCTTTACACATCACCAAACTGTTGCGTGGGTGGGTTTAAGTTTAGCTGTGTAGGTAGCCTGGTGCTGCTGGGGCTGCCTGCTGTCGAGGAGACTGTGGGCTCTTCCTTTCCTGTCCCCTGCCTGCCATCTTCCCTGGCTCTCTCTCTCTCTCTCTCTCTCTCTCTCTCTCTCTCTCTCTCTCTCTCTCTCTCAACTCTTCCCTTCACTCATCCAAGGCCCTGTGATTAAATTTTTAGTACACTTGGATCATTTTGAACTTTTAAGCAATTTCTGAGAGAACAAAACAAAGAGGATTTTTATGGCAAACTCCATTAATGCCACATTAAGGCTGACATTTTAATTACCCCCAAGTCAGGAAATGCAAAGTTCAGGTTCCCACAGCAACAGAAACTGTCCCCTTGAGTGCCGAGTGCAGCATTACAGCAGACTCTTTCATTCGTGGTTACACAACACCGGCAGGAGGACATTGTTTTTAGCCATGTCTGTGGAAAGAAGCAGCCTTTCCCCTTTGTGTCTGGCCGTAACTGCAGTTGAGGAGATGAGCCTTTAGCGCCCCTCCCCAGACCCTTTCTGTGTATTATCCTGTAACGGAAGACACGCTCTACATGTGCACGCAGACAGGATTAAAGTTGCTGTGGGGACATTAACTCTGGTTTCCGGACTTCCGTGCCAGTCACATTGAAACCATAATGTTGTAATTTTTGGCATGTAATAAATGTGCATTTCATGTACACAGACAGAAAGAAGCATAAAATGTATTTTAAAGAGCAATTAATTACTAACTTTGTGATTAAAAAACATTTGGTGCATGTTCCTTCCCATTTAGCATCAGCTGCTGGTCTTAGCCAGGCCTAATAGATGACATACTGTGTCCCATCCTGGATCTCAGATGTACTTACTGTATGTTCCTGTTCTTCTAGATAATTAATTCCTTAGTAACGCTGTAGGGGGGAAAACAAAATGGAAGGAATATGCAAGCATGTAAATAGGGTAAGGGAGACTTTGAAGGAAATGATTCATTTCTGCAAATAAACCTCTGAGTCCCTGATAAAGAGCCAGAAATCTGCTAAGTGGGTGTAGACAAAGGTTTCTGGCCACCTTGGAGCATCTGGTCCTGGGCCATAAGAACAACTTGAAAGCACATTTTCCCTCATGAATTCCAGGCTTGCCCAGTGGAGGAGTGACTTTCCTAACTCCTTAGACTTTGGAATTTAAAGTTTATTTTATTCACTAATGACCACAGTGTATTTTCAAATGGGCGGGGGGGGGGGAGCCCGACTGTAAGGAATTCAGGTAAAAGGTGGGCTTTGCAAAAGAACCCCTCATTTAGAAAATAGCAGGGTTTTTTCTCTACATATTAATCTTGTTGACCTATTTGTGTTAGAGAAGGGCATGTCTCAAAATAACTGAACAGGTTTGTGAGTAAAAGGAATCATTAGCAATACACTGTGGCATGGTGTTTGAAAATGGAAGTGCTTGGGTATATAATGGAAATCAGGAGACATAAAACTTGTACTGGAAAGGTATGTGGCTTACACCCCAGCATAGCCTTCAGGGCTGCATGCTCATTGAGGGTCCTCCTGCCTCTTGC